TTCACTGCAATTCAGTTCCAGTTATCACTGCTGGAGAAATCACTGCACTTCCAGTTTCTAGTAAAATATCAGCTCTGCCTGGTCCTAAATACTTCAATAGCCTTATAGTATATGTGAGCGAGAGGGAGAGAGAGAGAGAGAGAGAGAGAGAGAAAGATGTATTCAGAATGCAATTAAATGTTCTTTTGCATGAAAACTTTTTTTTACCAAGTATAACCATAACATATAGTTGATACTAGAATCTCAGGACAGTACCCTATGCCATTTTTCCCCATCAGCATTGAAAAAATCATCATATTTAATTTTTCTTTAGTTTTAAAAGTTATGCCCCTGCAGAGCCTACAAATTCCTAGTATGGTCTGAAGTCTGAGTCAGCCCCCCACAGGCTGTTTCTCCCCTAACCCAGAGACATCAACACAACACCCCCTTCTGACACACTCCTGAGCACAAAGTCATGGAAACGCATGTGCAAAACCAGCAGCAAATATGCTGCAGAAAGCCCATCCAAGAAATATGCATAGCCCGAGGCCACCTGAGACCACAGGCCGGAGAAGAGACGGTTCTGATAGGACACAACTATGTTCATGTAGGACACAAGTGGAAACAACATGGATGCACATTTAAAACCAAAAACAGGAGGAACATCTTTACCGAGAGGATTGTGGGAGTGTGGAACAAGCTGCCCAGTCATATTGTTGAAGGTGGTGGCTTCATTCAAGAAACATCTGGATGACATCCAATTAGCTGCCAACTACCGGATGGGCCGATGGGCTGAATGCCCTCTCTTGTGAGTGACTGTTCTTCAATTATGATTGTTTCACAATCCCCAACTCAGTTCATATTCGGAACAGGTCATTTTGACAGAATCGGCTGATTTTTGGTGGGTAAATCATTCGGTTCTGAAGTAAGAGAAGATGCCAGTGCTCTGTGGGCAGCAATGGCAGCGAGGAGGCAGACATGGACATGGCAGCCTGGTGCAATCCAGGTACCACAGATTTACTTTCTCAGCATCTAACCTGCTAACACTTTGTGCAATATCGTGTGCGGTATTATCAGGTGACAGGGCTAGGAACTTTAAGGGCAGCACTGTGAGGTCAGTGGTAGTGGCATTGGTTCTGGATTGTAACTGAAGGTTGTGGGCTCAATTTCCCGGTGAGACACTGCTGTTATCCACCTGAGTGAGGTACAGTACTTCAGCCAGTAGTGCTTGGGTGGAGTGGTAGCACTGTGGCTAAGGATCTGCGCCTGTGGCTGGAAGGTTGCTGGTTCAAATCCCGCGGCCTGCAGAGGAATCCTACTCTGTTGGGACCCTGAGCAAGGCCCTTAACCCCAGCTGCTCCAGGGGTGCTGTATAAATGGCTGACCCCACACTCTGACCCCAAGCTTCTCTCTCCCCATCTGTGTGCCTGTGTGTCTCATGGAGAGCAAGCTGGGGTATGCGAAAAGACAAATTCCTAATGTATGATATTGTATATAGTCAATAAAGTGATCTCATCTTATCTTCAGTGACATACCCAGATGTACCATTTACAGTAAGTGCAAATGGACATTGCCTTGGATAAAATTGACAACCAAACAAAATTTAACAAATGTAACCAAAGGGAGAAAAGCGTGATTCCTATAGGGAGACCCTTGGATGTTTTCTAGTTTCCAGAATTCACAAGGTTTTCCCTGTATCCTTCAGGTATGATCAACTCCTCACCTGGAAAAAGAATAATATTGATCCAATTCATGTTGAACTACTGTAGACCAGTTTATTCCTTCTCTCCAGCCTTCAGCCATTAATGTTTCAAAGAAACAAGGAAAACCCTCTGGATCCCACAGTTTGCAGCTGATAGTCTGGTGCTCTGGTGCTGGTACACTTGATGTCCTCTCTTCCCCTCAGTTTCGGAATTGATCACCCTTCTTTCAAAGGGCACAAATTTTCTTGAAATCTTAAACTGCAAATGGATTAATTACAAGCCTGCATTTTCTCCAGAACTTCACAAATATTCGAAATTGATTCAAATTAAAATACATTATTTGGAATGTGTTTTGCATCCAAAATGTTTTTGCATAACTAAAGGGTACAGTATCATTTAATGAGCAAACGGAAATGAGATTTGGTACACAAGCAAACGATCATTCCATTCCATTAATTAGCTCTGAAATGATGATAAATCAAAATGAATAACTGCTTCCAAAAATCTCTTTGTAAGGCTACTTCAGATAAATGAGTTAAAGAATCTTATATATACATGTACATTCAGAGCAGTACTTTCACATCATGGATAATTTATCATGGACATGCATATTTTATAAGGCAATTAAAAAACAGGCTTTAGAAATGCAATTACAGCAATATAAGAAACTCAGAATACACAAGCCTGGGTAAGACGTGGAAAATTACAAGCTGTTGGCAGATTGCAACTTGGTGCGTATAACGCATGAGAACAAACAATCGTTTCTGCAACTCCAGTGAAACTTTCACGGCTGGCGTTAGTGTCGCGGGCTGCGACAAAAGGCTTAACTGAGGGGAGAATCTAATTCTGCTGCCACATTTGTAGACCTCTATGGTAAATACAGTATATTAGAAGTCAAACCATGAAGCACTATGAAAGGCCAGAGTCACTCTGGATTCCTGACTGCAGCGTGTTAGGGGTCAAAAGCAATCACAGTATACTGTATACCTTCCTACAAAACAGTGGCTCTAAAAGAGGAAGCTTTAATCTTCATTCCAGCCATGTTGTACTGTATGTACAACATATAAAGTGCAAATTATCAGGCCTTCACTTTAAAACCACAAAATTATATATTAATTATGAAATATATGATAGGGCAAAACAGAAACCGTATCATGGGTAGCAAATCTTAGCTTGATAAATTTAAGGGTTTCACAGTAATGGCTGATGCTTTCCCATTCATGCGTCAGCTATAGTCAGGAATCTGGGAGTCATACTGTACTTGATGATCTCCTGTCTTTCGAGCCACACGGGAAAAATCTGATGAGGACATCTTTCTTTCACCTTAGAAATGTCTAGATGCTGAGTGCCTGATTCATGCATGTACTGTATAACATCAAGGCTTGATTTCTCCAACTCAATTCTCTATGGGCTCCCTAACTCTTCTTGGCAACTGGCAATGTGTTCAAACCTCTGCAGCTAGACACCTGACTCACACCAGACTCTGGTAACATACAGTACAGGTATCACCCCTACACTTAAGTCTCTACATCGGTTGCCTGTAAAGTCACATATTCAATATAAGATCCAGTTACTGACTTTCAAGGGTCTAAACATCATATATCTCTGAACTTTTCCACTCCCCAACAAACTCAAAAATACATTTTTTGTCTTTTTCTTTATTCATAATGTACAGTGTCCGTCGGTTTGGAAAGGCGCTTTATAAATAAAAGTTATTATTATAAACCTGGTACATTTCTAGAACTGGACACACTTAAAGTTTTGGAAGGATCGATGGCTGAGGTGACTGTACAGTTACCTCTTGAGCGCCCCCTTCTGGCAATGTATCTCAATAACAATTGTGTTCCAAAGGACAATTATTAATTAATGATTCATGCTTGCAAAAGAGGTCTTATTCTAAGCAAAGGAATGAGAATGCACATAGCACATTTACAGTTGATATCGAGACACAATACACAGTATAACTTACCAAGTTGTCTAAAAAACATGCACTGCTGAAATCTCAAAGTTGAAAATGCTGAATTAATAAGTTGTCTAAAAAACGTTTACATGCTGTAATTAATTTAATTAATTTATTTTTAAACAATATTAAGTTCAAATCTCATCCAGGTGGTGCTGCACACTGGTGGTGTTTGAGGGGATCCCCATTACCTGTAAAGCGCTTTGAGTGGAGTGTCCAGAAACAGCGCTATATAAGTGTAAGGAATTATTATTATTGAATATTATTATTAAATGAGTACAAAAGCTGTGCTGACCATCTTTCACCACAAGAGGGTAGCATAAAACATACAGTAATAACTTACTGGAAACTTGTCTGCCCTTTCTGGATGGCTCACAGAACGTTTGCCTTCCTGTCTGTGGGAGAGCATGTAAACTTCCAAATATTGCACAAGAAAAAAAAAGCAAATGTTCAAATTCTCTACAGAAGCTTTCTCTATTCCTGGGCCTCAAGGGTGCAGAGCAACATGCTTTCTCTGAAAGATCGAGAGCTTCAGACTTCTGGAAGACGGATGTATATCAGTCAGATGTATATTCTACGCTGTGGTGTGCTGGGGCAGCAGCATCATGACAAAAGATGCAAATAGGCTCAATAAACTCACCAAGGAGGCTGGCACTGTGCTGGGGATGAGCCTTGACCCCATGGAGGTGGTGGCTGAGAGGAGAATGCTGACCAAGCCCACAGCCATCATGAACAACGCCTCTCATCCGCTTCATAGGACTGTTACTGGGCAGCGGAGCACATTTAGCAACAGACTGCTCCAGCTCCGGTGTTCAAGGGAACGTTTCCGCAGGTCTTTCCTCCCGGCGGCTGTCAGGGTGTATAACGCTGCCCTAGGCTAGGACTGCTAGCCCTTCATTTGCTCCTCTATGGACAGCATGTTTACTCCATTGTACTTTTCGGACAATCAGTCTGTATAAACCTATGCACATTTTGCACATATTTTATTGTTTCTACAGTGACTATGATCAGCACATTTTGCACACACCTATGTATTTATTTATTTTGTTTGTCTTTTGTTTTATAACTATTCTGATGTCTGTTTTGCTTGTCTTGGGCTGGACTGCTGTAACACATCAATTTCCCTACGGGATTAATAAAGTATTATCTATCTATGTATCGATGCGATGAAGCCCTTCTCAGTGCATAATCAAGACAACAGCAGAGCCCAAGGACTAAAACTGGGCACCTCCTAACCTGGAGAGGCTCTTGAAACGTCACCCCGAAAACTCAGTGTCACAATTTCATTAGCAATAGGAAAATGCAGCTGCAGGCTTAAGCAGGGCAGGGCAGAGGCTGCAGGGCCTGCCGGAGCCTACCGGAGTAGAGTGTGTCCATATCCGGAGCTCTGGGGTTGGTGGCAAGAGAAGACGCCCACGAGGCAGAGTGGTGCAAGGCAGATGGCCTCAACAGCGGCTGGCAGCTGTCCTCGAGGAGCTCCGGCAGGGAAGGCGTTGAGTTCATCCGGTGCGAGGCGCAGGAGGTGGACAGCCCTGCAGCGAACGACAGAGTTAAGGGTGGCGTTACTTCCCATGAGCACGGCAAGATGGACAACTGTCTCCGTCTGCGTAGAACCCCCCCCGACTCCAGGCTCCAGAGGGAACGTGCGAGGCGTGACAACACAGTGGGCCGCACAGAAAGGGGGAAAACACATTTAATCATCTCTGTGTGTGAATAAAGTCTAACAGTTGGGTTTTATAGAGAAAGTTCCAGGAGGACACTGCACAGAAGCAAAACATTTTGAATCTAGTTGCGCTCATTTTTCTTGCCTTCTGTATGCTCAATTAAGCCACAGAGTTACTTGCGTTTATTTTTTTTCCATGAGGATTTTGCAATTTACTACAATTACCAGCTGTGCGTGCTGATAAATGCTAAAAAAATTCAACAAAGGAGTTCTGCCAAATAAACAGTGCAGCCAGCCACTGATGAAGTTAAGTGTTATAAACAGCTAGCTCTACAGTCCTACCATCTTAGGAGACTCGTAATTGCTTTAAAAGTCCATTACGTGCAATGAATGACTGAGGAGATGACAGGAGCTTTTCAGCATTCATTGTTCCCAGTGTCATAATTTTACTTTTCAGGCTCTCAGCAGAGTAATGGTATAGCTTAAGTGTCCAGAGACTTCAGCAAAAACGCAAGCCGATGCTCCGATACATACAGTATAAGCTCTTAAGTTCTTTAATTATTAAAATTGAATTGCTGGCTACTAGTGAACTATGGAGATATATGCACAAAGTCTTGGTCTAATGAGCAATATGTGGATTTCCTAAAAAAACACACTCAAAGAAATAAGATTTGGCCTGCAGCTCTGAACTGAGTTGTTTCCCTTATCTAATGAAGCTAAAAGGTCATATAATGTGGGAGGAGGCTTTACGAGGGTTGTCAGAAATGAAAAGCAATTCATAAATAAAACATCCAAGGGACTAGGTATCACTCATTTATTTGTGAACATGTCAGCTCTGCTCATTCAGGACATCCAGGTTTGTCTGATGGGGCCTTCATTACTTTTAAGCATCGACTGGCATTCTTTTATACTACAGCCTCTTCTCTGAAGAGACTCATAACTCCTACTTCCTGTACCGTACCTGTTGAAATTTCTATTTCCAAACCTTCAGGAACATTTTCGCCTGTGAGGCACGTCTCCGTTTCTCCGTTAACCATAAATAACTCAGAAAGAGCCTGCCCTTTTCACTCTGCTCAGGTTTCAAGCCTCATGCATTTTTTAGCGGCTTTGAAAATTCTGTGTCCTCTGCAATACGCAAAGGATTAAAGAGCAGAAAGCCATATCTTTGCTCCTTAGAACATTTCAAAATAATAAAGGCAAATGAAACAAGGACCCAGGATAATTTTTGCGTTGGTTTTCCACGAGGTTTGGTACACTAAGTGTTTGTGTGCAACTCTTTCCTGTCAGTAAGCTTTGCCGAGTGATATTCTGATCATGGATATTAAGGTATGCTAGATAACTGGATGAAAGCCTGGTCCCAGAATGAACCAGAAGACTCCCTGATGTGCCTTTAAACTCATTGTGGACCGAATGATTCACAAGTTTTTCAGCCAAGTTGCAGTTGGCTGTAGAATATAAGGACTGACCAACAGCACAGACATCCAGTGCTGTATTCCACTTTAAACATGCTTAATTTTTCACTCTGACTCCCACGCTTGACCAATTTACTGTGCCAGGGTATCCCATCACCTGCCAGAAACAACCCAAAAAAATCCAACAGCAATGCCCGCTTTTCAAACCTCAAATTTCACCAGTCAGGACCTCATCCTAGTTTGCAAAGGTCAAGCAAGAGGAGTGCATATGACTCTCCATCAGTTGGGATGCAGATCCGTCACAGTGCTGGTGACTACTGGTACAGCTGAGCAGGCTGGAGAAGATCTTTGTTTGAGGATATAGCCACCCCTGCCCACAGCAGGGACTTGAACCCACAACCTTCCAGCTGAGAGGACAGGGCTCTTAAACCCTTTCTCAGTGCTGTGTTCCAGTTGGGGGGTGCGAGGCTCATCTTTCTCATCAGGCTGAAACAAAGTTGCAGACAATAAGCAGTTGTGTGCTGTGCGTTAAAGTATTAGGTTGTCTGTTAAACTCGATGGATTTGCAGCGCTTCTCAGTTCGTTCATCCTTGCAAGTGTAAGCTTGATATTTTAGCTAAATCGACAATTCAGAGTGTCCCCTATAGCCTCCAAAACCCCAGCACCTGAAGACCTGGGAGAAGCTGTTAAATTGATTCAATTTAGCCGATAATAAGTCAATTGATTTAAGACCCGACCTGGAAAGGAGACCTGCAGACACACTGCCACTCTAGGGCCAGGCTTGTCAACCCCTGAAAAAAATCTCATGTTTCCCAGTGAAAGCGAGGGAATGACTTCTGTGTTAAAGGACTGGTTCTCTGCATGTTTATAGGCGCCACAACGCAGGAACAGTAGCCAAAATATAGAACAGAGCAGAGCTTCATCCAATTCCCAATCTTTGGGCCCTGATCCCTGCATTACTTTGAATGTTTACCCCTTACAGGTTAGCCTGCGACCTCTCAGAGTCTACACTACCAAACAAAAGAGCCCCTGTTGGCAGTACACGTCAGCTCTCACTAAGCACGCACATGGGGTTTCTAGGAAGCTGTTTGAGGGAGCTTTCCTTTGAAAACTGAAGTACTTCCATTCCAGCAACTGAGAAATGAACAACAATACAACATTTGAAACCTCTCTTGTTGGCTGGAGGTGTCTCCAACAGGAAGCATCCTCTCACATGCAGCTACGCTAGGCTGTTTCCGACATGTACCCCTTCATCCCTTTGCCTGAATTAGTGACCCACTGTTTTTCATGCTACTAGATATTTTTTTTGTTTTTTTTTTAAATGAGGCAAAATTTATTGACATCTGTTCTGAGGGCTTTACATCTTGAACACTGTCAATGTAAATGTGACCCTGGGAGAGGAAGAGGATGAAGGGAAATGTTTATTTGATCTAGAAATATGGCAATGGCTCTTGGGAGGGTCCCGATTTTGACTCTGCCAACAGCAACGGCTTCAGGCCTTGAAATAGAAACTTCCCCTTGACAGGAGATGTGGATGTAGCAGAGCTGATCAATGCCACTGCATCTCTTAATCTTAGGTTAAGCGATGGAAACTTTGAAATGATCTTTTAAATACACATGGGCACATGCCATGCCTCATTTTAGAAGTCCATCTTTGTTTTAAAAACCCCAGGAGTAGGTAGGATCTTTTCGGGCTGCATCTCTGGCGCCATCCGGTGTCAGTCACATGAATAACAGGCAATCCCGGTGCCGAGACTCCCTGGTCTTCAAACCCTTAAGCAAATCACTCAAACAGCGGTGTGTAGGCAGAGAACGAAACCTTTCGTTTAAAAAAAAAAAAGTCTTCATTCTTTGGCATGCAAAGAGCTTCGAGCAGTGCATGCACATTCACTCCATTCTCGTAAACCTCTCTCTAAGGAGCACAGCCTGATCTCTTTTGAAGACGCTGCACCTTGAACGATCTTGGAGATGCACTTTGAGAACCTCACTCAGTTCTCAGCTCCCTCAGAGGTTTCAAAGCTCTGACTACTCGTGGCCTCTTTCAGAACCTGGCTTTCAGGTGATTTGGGATTATAAAAATAGTTTCCTCTCGCAGCAGCTAAGGCATTAATTAGAATAGAACATGGACTCTGGTCTCTGGCATCTATGCTCCTGTTGTCAAGTAGTTTTTAGACATTAACTGGGCCCTCAATACGCCCTTTTCACTTGTTGGAGAACCAGTATGGGCTTTAATGGTGGAGTCAGTGATAGAATCTGGCTTATGCTGTTCAGAATACAAAAACAACATTAGAAGACAATCATAACCCCAATGAGGCAGTTGACATGTTAGTAAAGAAATTTAAACTTTTGGGAGGGTCTACATAAGAGTTTTAAAAATACAGCTTTTCAAATTCCCTGATGGGTAACTATACTATTGTCTTTTGTGTTTTTCTGCCAGTCACTGATTACGTAAGGTATGATTCTGAATCTACTGTTCAAAACATCTATTCTCCAGTATCGCTTCCTGCTCTGGAGGGCGGCACTGAGCCGGAGCCTGTCCTGTTAAAAGGAGGTACAAAGTCAGACTCCACCACGGATGAGAATCAAACACAGAGGCAATTTGAAGAAAGCAATTAACTGTGCCAGAATGTCCATGGAAGGCTGAGGCACAAAGACACAAACACAGAGAGAACCTGCAGAGCATCCCAGACCAGAATCAAACCCAGGAACCAAGCAAGAGGCGTGCAGCAGAAAAGATAAAACACACAAAATATCACTGCCCCTACAAAATTGCCCTCGTCACATTAAATAAATGACTACCATTGTACCTTTCCACAGTGGAACTCAAGAGCACAGTGGGACACTAACACAATTTCACACATGTGTTTTTATAAAAAGTAAGCATTGGATATTTAGGCCAATCGGATTGCTTCAAACGACATAAATCAAGGCAAAAACACGTCTGGCAGCTAGAGGCACAAGGTGGAATAACCTTCACTTCCGTATTAGAAATCTGCTGTTTTTTCCTCCAGAAAAGGCAAGGCGTGCAAGCACACATTATGCACATCAGCAGCAACATTTCTGCTTTGACACTGGGCAACACTGTTGATCCCAAATATATCTGGGAGCAATAAGCACAAGGTTGACCATTATACCTTTTACTATTGCCAGGCACCAGCTAACAGTGCCTGAGAGAGGCATCCATCTGCTGGGAAAGGACAGGTCCACACTGCTGGTGGGAGCACAGAACAGTAGGTTGTGTTTCACTCTCCATTCATTTTGTGGCTGGAAGTTATTTAAAACTTCCTGCTCTCAGCGAGCAAGATGACCGTGTGTGTCCGTGCATCTGTGGAGTCATGTGTTCCTACATCTTCTTTGATATTGTAGAAGGACCAGAAATATATCTGTTTCAGTCTGTTTTCTCCTCCATGTGCAGTGCCTTGTGAGGGAATTTTGGAATGATCATAAAAACCAAATT